GGGAAACTTCAATGACACGAAACCCAATGTTTTAATTTGGATAGTATTTAATGCAATTAAATACATAGGTATTCACAAATATAATAAAGTTATGACTATTATATTAATTTAACAATAATATTGTTATTAGTTTTATAATTATTGTGTATTTCACATATAAAAATTAAAGTTTATTTTTATTATACTTTAAAAATAAATTAAAAAATATACTGGAGTGATTAACTTTGTAGCTGTCTAGTAGCATGCTATTTTAAAAATAAATTAAAAAATATACTGGAGTGATTAACTTTGTAGCTGTCTAGTAGCATGCTATTTTAAACATAAAATAAAAAATATACTGGAGTGATTAACTTTGTAGCTGTCTAGTAGCATGCTTAGACGAAGACTAATTGGAATATAGCTCTAGACCAAAAATAAATAAATAAATAAGATGATAATGATCGTTTGTTCTTTTCTCTACATTGTCAAAGCATCTATATCTACAACTCGACTGCAGTTGAAAGTTTCTGTAGGTGTAAATTCTAGTACTTGCATCCTGTCAAGCGCTTTTCATCAAGTGATGACTCACACAAGAATCTTTAAAAGAGAGAGAAAATAATAAAGTGAAATTTCGGTTTAATTTTCCTTCTTTATTGAAAGGAAGAGAGAATAGCATAAGTTCGGTTTTGGCACTAGATGAAAGTTGAAACTATGATGAATTAAAAAACCGACCAAGAATTTGATACCATGGTTGGCAGCCAAAAGTTAAAAAATTTGATTCCTTTGGTTCTCGTATGAGTTGTTAAACTAACCAAGCAATCCTCGTAGGCAGCTCGACTCGTTAAAATTCGAAAAATAAGAGTTTATACAGAAAATTTTAAACTATTGTAGTTAAGGATTAAATTCGGCTAGTTAATTTTAATTGGTAAATGAGCGGAGGCGATAATGATTCGAGTATTAGCAGCTTAGCTTGACTCTGACTCGACTCATATCTCACCAAAAAAAGTGGGCACCTGTCAAAATACGAATTTTCTATTAGAAAAAAAAACTGCTTTTAGGTTTGCCTCTAGTTATGGAGGCATGCCATTTGAATTGTCTTGACTTTTCATTAAAAATACTTTGAAAATAAAAAGATTAGCGATGAGTGGAATAAAGCACTAATATTTGGACTTGATAATTGGGTTTCTTCAGCTGATATCACTTGTAAGGAATGATTATTCCCATGTTGGCTGATTATGAATGGGTTGTTAGCAGTTAATCTGGGGCCATGCTTATGTGGTTTTCCTCAAATCTGCGTAGGATTAACAAAAAAAGTTGGTGACTTAATGGGGTTCTTGTGAAATTTTTAATTGCATCTTTTTTCTTTAATCATCGTCATTATGCCTCCTCGTGTTGCATTTTCCGACTGCATAGTGTTATTGTGACGTGTAATTGAATAACTTTTGCATAGTCAAACTTTTTTAATGTGATTGAAATATACACTAGTTTTTGTATAAGCCAATCTAACTCGACTTGTCATATTTTTAAAGAAATTTAAGATTTTAATTTGAATATGCGTATATGTTGAAAATGTAATGTTGCCTACACGTTAGAGCCAGCTGTTTACTGACCTGGCAGACTTGTCTAACAACAATCTTATTGTTCTTTTCTTTTCTTGTTTAGGTGACTTTCAGTGTTCCATTTGCTTTGGCATCCATATTTTCCAGTAATTCTGGGGCCGGACAAGGTAAATAAAACTGTGACATTATGATATGTTTAATGTTATATCACAATAATTCCAACTATAATTATTACTTTTGGACATTATTATGTTTGTCTATATCTTATCTCATTTATTTCTGAACAAAAATCTCTTTGTCAGGTCTTTCTCTGGGAGTTCTGAATCTTTCAATAGTCATACCACAGGTAAATATTTTATAAATATATTGCCCATATGCCCCCTGAACTGTACATTACATGTGTTAGCCCATAAATGAAATGTCGTTTTCTTTTGCCAAAATAAAAATGAAAAATAATAATAATAATATGTGGTGGTGCCTTTTTTAGTTGACTTTCATGCCTGTCATACTTCTTCTAGATAAAGGTATCTTGTGTTTTGATCTCACACTCAACACAAGGAAGAATAGAAACAAAAAAGGACTATAAATTGCCAAAGTTTCCAGAAAAATATTCCACCTTTTGCAACTGGAAAAAA